ACTGCCTATCACTATAAACAAGAAACATGCAAGCAATCTTGGTTTTTCAGAGGCACAGTGGGAATGTTCAAAATCTCAAATATTTTCATAGTTTTCGTCTCGGCTTCATTTGTTTATTCATGGGGGGAGACAGCAATCCAGTTCACAAGCTGTACTTACGGCCTAGCACTATCAAATAGCCCTCCTGGGAAATCTAACCTGTTGTTTGTGAAGATGAGAGACTGCAACAGTCTGTTCTGCCTAGTGAGACTACAAATGCTGCATCTAGCCTAAGTTACTAAATACAACTCAGTCTTCATCTGCAATGCTCCTATTTCTTCCATTCTGGTTTTCCTCTCAGCAAACACAATGTGTAATTGTCCTGAATTATGTGCCAGTTGTTCAGTGTGGGAGAAGAACTAGAATGAAGCCAACAAGACCAGATAACATAGATCCTGAGGGAAGACAGGCAAGTAAACTCACGGGAATTACTGCTGGCTTCTCCCAGGAAGGCAGCTCTAAACATTGTTTTTATCCCAGCATATATCTTTAAAATATTTTGCTTGGATACTTACACAGATCAATTAAAGTCAGCTTTAGAAATAAAGCACTGGCCTCAGTCATCATCTGGGCAAGGTAAAACATTTAGATTCCTAACAGGATTGAAATGCATTTACAAGATCTTCTACAATTCCTTCTAATTCAGAAGCAATTCTCTATTGTAGTTTTCCACATAAAGGACAGCAAAACCAGGAGAAATTTCTTGATTTCTACTGTCCCATGCTATTAAAATACCAGAACAAATATTATCGAGAAAGATGAAACAATGACAATTTTACAGTTCTAGAGAACTGAAGGTTTCAACCTAACTTCCATTAAGAAACAATTTGGAAAAAAACTTAGTGCAACTAATTAGGCCCTAATTACCAAATTCCTAGTGGTAAGATTTGGTGATAAACTGCATACAAAGACACTCTGCTAACTTCTTTTCTGAATCACCACCAGTTAATGTGCCCCACTGAATTTCATAGACACAAACACATCCTATGCATACCACATTCCAAACCTGGACTGTACTGAAACAACTCAGCGGGAGCTGGGAATCATTTCATTGCAGCTTTACAAAGACAGCTACTTTGGCTCCCAAGTCTGCAAATTACAAGGTAATACTGAAGTGTAAACCAAGATGTATTTTTTGTACAATTTTCCTGACAAAACCTTATGTTACATGTTGTTAAATATGTTGGAAATGATATATTACATAAATTAGTTGAAACACCGCATGTCAAGTCCTCTCTACAGCTTATGGTTTGATACATAAGCAGAAAAGACAGCCTTTGTTTCTTTTTGTACTATGTCAGAGAAGAAAGACCAGTCATGCTTGAAAAATCAACTCGAAAGTGGTTTTAGAAAGTCACACAGAGTACCACAAGACATTAGTGATGATGATAATTAGCACTAAGACATGCATGGCTAATATTGTATTTCTTTAACTAGTAACCCCATCATACTATACTACAAACAAAAGCATGGGTTGTGCAAATATTTTGTTTTGTTTCAGTAACATACCTCTCAGTCACTTGTTTTTGTGCTTTCTCTCTTTCTTACTCTTCTAAAACATTGCAAAGGAAATGGCATCTCTCTCTAAAAAACACTGCAAAGCTAGTCTTTTGGCTCTTTCAATACTCCCCTCACATGACAAGAATGATTAAGTAAGTTTTAAAAGGAGCAAAACCAATTTCTTTCTCCTTGTCCCCATCTGACTACCAGACTCAAACAAGAGGATGAGGGGAGCTTGCATCCTTTCTAGTCAACCATCTTACCCTGCAGCCATCCTTCTCCCTCTAGCTAGCCAACATCAGTCCCCCGCAATGCTCTCCCTTTTAAACCCTGCCTTCAGCACAGATGTGATTAATTGCAATTTACTGAACACTCCTAGTCTGCCCAGGGACCAGCCTCCAGCTTGCTCTACATCCACTGTGTCACCTCTACAGGGACAAAACCAGCACGTTTCCTTTGCACCTCAGTACTAATGGGGCATAAAGAGCAGATCTATAAAAGCTGATACTCGGTGACTTTTGAAAGCAGAATGGAGCAAAAGATAACAAAATCACCTGTAATAATTCTTCCCTTTCTGGCCCAAATTCCTAAGAGGTGTTTTCCTCTCTTCCTAAAGCGACTGTCCTCCATGTAATGGCTCAGCTGTTAATGTCACTGTCTTTTGAAACAGGTCATGCTAATGGCAAGCTTGCTTTGCACATACTGCTTCGAGCTCATTAATATGCATGTTCTCTCTCTGTTCATTTGTTTCTCTATTTACTTTGAAGTTGCCTCACTGGAACCTGCACTGCTTTTCTGTGTTCAGATCTTGGCTGGCATTTCTCAGCTTGCTACGTCTCTGTTTTTTATCTAGGACGCAAATGGGACCAAATGTTGCAAAAGTCAGTTAACAGCAGCTCGGGTGATATTTGGTGCCCAGCTGAATGAATTTCTTGGCCTCCTCACCCTCACTGCTGAGAGATGTTCTTTCTACTTGCTCTCAAATTGACTGTTTACATTGCAAATTTTAGGGCAAGTAACATCTCTGTATTTGTCAAGCACCTGCCCCAGGACAGTACAGGCCCACATTGTGCTTCTATGAAAAATAACACCACCTGGGTTACCTTAATTCTCTAAATGTCTATTCCACCTGAAAGAGCTATTTCCAGCATGGGAGAAGGAATCAACTTTGACTCAGATATCAGATTCTCAGTCTGATAAGGGAAAGTGATTCAGCTGTCTTCTTTTTGCCTTTGTGATTCAGGAGCAGCTCATTATTCAGATGACAGCATTGTAACTGGGAACAGAGTCAGTCATAACTCGGAACTTCTTTGACAGGGAGGAGCAAAAGTATTTATATTTTATTCAGAGGTCACTATATTAATATCTCTCCATACAGAGACCAGTTCCAACATTGTCTTCTGCAATAGGCCCATGTCATCCAAGGTTATTTTGGGGTAAAAGACTTGGAGATACTGTTTTCCTCAAAGTACCTCCAGGGACAGCCAGTTAGCTAGTGTCTCTTGAGGCTGCAGGTTGTGACAAGGTAGATCTGCTTCCTACTAAGTCCCTTCCTAGCAAATCTGCAGACACACAACCTTCATGATTCCTCCATACAAACAACAGTTTATTCTCAGTCAACATCCATTAGAAAACCAAGGAACACACCCTGAAGCATATGAGAGGAACTGGCTGTGACCAAGACACTGAGCCTGTCTAACTAAGGAGTGAGCATGGTTGCTTAAACAAATTTACTAGCCTTTTTCTAGAGGGCTGCAGGATTAAAATCAAACAAATGGGTACAAATGCCTTTTTCAGCCGATGGGACTCTAAGCCACTGCTAAACCAGTGCATCAAAACCATTACAGTTTGAATCCACCTTCAAACTGTGTCCAAGTTACCTCCAACCCTTTAAATCCCCACAGCATTTCTTGCACAGAAAAGCACTAGTATGCTAGGTAAGTTTTTAAGTAGCCAATTCTTCTACTGGATCTCACAAAATTTTTCATGACACAAAAATATTTCAATATGCATCTGTTTTTTAATACAATATAGTTCATTAAATTATTTGCAGCATCAGTTTTAACAGGATCCACAAAAGGAAGCATACATAAATTAAAAGAACTAAACTGAGCCAGTGGTATAGACCAGGATCACTAACCTACGTCATCATGCAAAGGGCTGCATATGAGTTATTTGGAAATGGCAATACAACAGGGCTGACAGGTAGGCAGGAGCTGAGAGTCCCGGCAACTTGACAGGGCACTTCAGTGCAACCTGAGAGTGCTTAACACACAGGCCATCTAACATCTAACATCTTTAACACACCACATCTTCCAGTTCACACTGTTTACTGGCATGTGCCTCATTTGACGCAATACAGAATCCATCTAACAGCCACTAGCTGAGGCACTTGACCTCAGTCTAGATCTACTGCTGCACAGCCTTGAGTTAGTAACTATATATTCTCCAACAGGAGCAATAGCAAGGATGCTACATCATCTCAAAATCCATCATACACTACAATACACTGAACAACTGCAAATCAGAACAGTGAGTAGAAATAGCAGTGGTAAGAGCCAAAGTGACCACCTGTGGAGGAGCTAACAGTGTAGAGATGAGAGCACACACCAAAATGTAGTTTTATTTTCAAAATTACCTTGCTTACTTGTTTTCAGCATCTTTAGGTAGCCAAACAGCTCAATGTGCAAGTGGAGATAAGTGGCATTCTTCGGAGGCCGGTATTGGAACCAATGCTGTTTAAAATCTTTGTTGCTGACACAGACAGCAGGATTGAGTGCATTCTCAGCAAGACTACTGATGACACCAAGTTGTGTGGTGCAGTCAACATGCTGGAGTGGGGGGATGCCATCCAGAGGGACCTGGACAGGCTCAAGAGGTGGGCCAGTGCAAACCTTGTAAGTTCAACCTAAAGGGGGCCTACAAGAAACCTGGGAAGGAACATTTTAAAAGGGCTTGTAGGGACAGGACAAGGAGTAATGGCTTTAAACTGAAAGAAGGTATATTTAGATAGGTATTTGGAAGAAGTTCTTCTTTGTGAGGGTGGTGAGACACTGAAAGAGGCTGTCCAGAGAAGCTGTGGCTGACCCACCCCTGGCAGCATTCAAGGCCAAGTTGGATGGGGCTTTGAGCAGCCTGGTCTAATGGCAAGGAGGTTGGAATTGGAAGATCTTTAAGGTCCCTTCCCTAAACCATTCTGTAATTTCATGAAAATCCATCTCATTCAGCCCTGAAAATTGGTGGTTATTTAATGTAAAACATAAAACTGACAACCTGAAGACGAGTGCGTTCAGCTTTGCTCTTACTAAAATCAATGGAAAAATACCTAAAACTCTGTGACTGTCACATCATAGTCATCTGCAACCTGAAAATGCAGTCAAGCTCTAATGAGATAATGCACATCACTTAATCAACCAAAGAGGATAGATGAGAGAGCATGCCATAAAAAGATTTTGACTCACAGTGGCTAATTTCTGAACATCTTCATCAGATGCTCCCAGTGAAGCAAGTCCTATCTCTTGTGAAAACTGCGCAAACTTGGGATCAGCAAGTAGAGGCACGTGTCCCAAGAGTTCATGGCATGTATCCCTAAAGGCATGAAAAGTAGAAGAGATCATTACAGAAATTAATGCCACAATCATTCCATAATTAATTAAACGTAAGCCATTTTATATGACCTCTACTTTAAAAGTCTTACCATGAAGCACTTTTTTTACAGTGTAATTGCTCTTCCCTGTGCATGGTTCCATAGAAATATTCATGTTTGCTTCTATTAAGTAGATTATACATCATTTAACCCCACCTGTTCTGTGACTTCCCCATCATTTCTAGATTGAATGGAAGGGCCTAATCACTGCTGTCTTCCAGGCTTAGTACCATAAAGACTGAACTGCCCAAAGGAAAGCCAGATGTCTCACAAGTATGGTTTTCAGCATTTCTTTCCATGTGCATCAAGTTCAAATCCAACACATTCCCTCTTCCTCTTCCCCATTCCTCTTTTTGCATGTGGGTACAACTTCACAACCAAATATTTTGCCACTTGCCACTATAAATTCAGGGTAATATTTACAGTGGTTTCTGTGTGCTTGATTTCTTGTTTAGTCCTGAGTTCCTTCTACAGTTACTGGGTACTTTTGTAACTTGATCCACTTTTCACCAAGCAGGTTTCAGAAAAAGCAGAGAAGCCAAATCATTTCAGAAAGAACTGCTGTACACACCTGTAAGTGCATTTTAGCCATGACAAAGTGCAGATATAAGTGTACAAAAAACTGCCAACCAGCCTAACAGAAGTGCACATGCATCATCTATAAAAGCTCTCAAACAATTCTGAAAGTTTTGGTGCATTTGTGCTAAGAAAATAATGGACCTGGTAGTAAAGTTCACTTTAAAAATCAGATCTGACATTTCCTTTGCTTTTGCCTCTTCAAAGACATTTCTTTTTTATCTTTTTTTCTTTTTCTTAAGCTGTAAACAAATGCTTTAAAGGCAGGGAGAAAACATCAAGTTTTCTGCTTTCTATCCAAAATCATCCAATTTGTCTTTTATAAACTATTTTTGTTTGGAAAGACAGAAAACCTGACACTTCAGATAAATCATGAACAGAAAAACAACACTGTATTATTTAAAGTCTCCTTACTCATTATTCTTCACCAAGAAGGCTGCAGCAACTGTGTCTAGGTAGATAGTAGTAGTTAGTTTCTCAATGCATGCAAATGAAGATTAGCATTTTTGGCATTCCTAGGTTGCTTCACCAAAAGCTTATCAAATAGAGTTTCAGTACTGAAGGGAGACATAGAAGCTTCTCTTCTCAGCCCAGACGGCCTCACTGACAGACGCTTAGCAACATTTGCTCATGTTACATTCACGCCTTTTGGTGAGACAAGCACCATTCTGAAGCTGTACATGAAAAGTTTAAGCCAATTTCATATACAGATAATTCATTCACTGGTACAGAGAAATTACCAAGTTTCATTTCTCTTCCTTCCTAGACACAGGTATTTCCCAAAGAAGCAAGGGAGGTGAATAGATAATCTTGCTCCTGATAAAACAAAAAGTACTTTTGGCATGATAAAACAAACATGATCCATGAACACTGACTACAGATCCAGTTGTAGCAATATGGGCTGAGTGCTCAAATTTGCTGTGTGCCAGTATTTTTAGTCAGCACCCATAAAACATGTTTGATATGTACAGGTGGGCAGGAATGGTATCAGACATCATACTTACATAAGGAAAATTGTTTGCATTTGTTTTCTACTGCCTGATAAAGCTTGTCCTGAAAGTAATATTTCTTCCCTTGTTTCTACACCATTGCATGTCCTTTCAGAGCCCTGGAAATTCCCAATTTCTCCAAAAGCAGATGGTAAGAAGGCTTTTCTTTTATGATCTCCACATCCCTTTGGTGATGCTCTGAGTCTTGTGAGATGATCAAAGTAGCCTACCACAAGACCCATAGGTTAAATAATACTCCTTTCCTCACTGGAGCTCAGACTTGAAAAATTGACTGCCTCTGCATGATATCTGTCTCTTTGTTCAGGAGATGGTTTGCATCGCTTGAACAGATAATCATCAATGGTTAATAACCTTTCTTAAATTCCTCCAGTTCCAGACATAACAATTTCTTCTGTCATCTCCTGCAAGCTTTAGCTTGCTAACAATGCAAAGGACAGCAGTAAAAATGAGTCTGTAGTCTCATAGATATACCCAGAGAATTCCCAGAACCAAACAATTCACTGGAGGAACCTGACTCCTCCAACCATCACCTTCCAACACAGAAATGGGCGACAAAGCCCATTCTCTGGAAGTCCAGCGCTCAAACTCCAATTCTCATTTCTCATCTTCACTGATGAAATCAACATTGATTCCTGAGTATTTCACCTATGCTGCACTGCATCAGACCACATGTATTTAACTTCGTATCAGTAGTTCAAATAACAAGAGCAAAGATATACTGGAACTGGCTTCAAATTCCTGGCTTTGGGTAAGGCTTCTACAGCAGCATCACTACTATTGGTACCTGCGTGAGTGTCTACATCTCTGTTTTCCTGTGCTAAAGCCACAACTCCCAGAAACAAATAAGCAAAGACGTGTTATTCCTTGTTCTGAACTGGGACACAGGCTCTTTGTGTCACTTCTACCCTTGCAAACAAAATGAGAACAGACAAAGCCTAGCCCCTTTAACTTGTCTCTCCTGACAAGGGGAGGAGGATAAGGAGGCAGAAGTTATTTGTCTCATGCCTTTAGCCTGCAGATTCTTCCATTAAAACTATGCAAAACAGTATTTTTAATATGCAGTTATAAAGAGGGGAGCTTGAAACAAAAATCATATGAACAAAAAAAAAAAAAAGACCAACAATAAAAAAAAAACAACAAAGCAAAATCTTCCAGGCAGAACCATCAACTACCATTCAGTATTGTCATTGGAGTCTCTTAGATGTCCCTGCCAGCCTGGCCCTTTATAGATAGCCTAAACAATATAATTCTTCATTTAACTACCAAAGCTTGATTCTTTTGTTTTGTTTTGTTCAGAAAATAATTAAGTTCCTTTAATTTATTCACACACATTGCTCAGAGAAAATAAGATTTTTGTAATGCACTTTTCACAGCAAAAGATTTTTCTTGGAGTAAATTAGTTAGCAGAGCAGAGGAAATCTATATAGCTCTGTGAATGTAGTAGAAACATAATGAAACTCAGAAAGAAATGTTCTAAAATGCATATAGTAGTGATACAGATCAAACCAAATGAACTCTCTAATTTGTATCTAGCTCTATAGCCTGGGTGTTAAATCTGATGGAAAGCCCACTGAAGTCAAAGGGAGTCTTTTTACCAGATTTATGTCATTGAAATGCAACATTCACCAAGCCAGGAACCTGCAGCAAATCTCGTTATGGCCCCGTATATCAACCAGCAGATCTCAGGGCATTGCAGCTACTGCAGAGACAAAGAGCTGTCCCCTCTCAAGTCAATTTAGTTTTGCCATTGATTTAAAAAAAAAAAAAAACGGGATTTCACTCTGTATTTCTGATAACACTTACTATATGCTCTAACTATACATATAAAAAGAAAAACACATTTAAAAAGGTATTTTCAGAATTTTTCTATGGAGTTCCTAATAGTCAGTACACACTATTGAATTTATGTGAAGAAACAGGTCTGCAAAACGAGAGTAACAGCATTAGAAAATGACAGCTTCAGTCCTCTGTCAGTTTAAATTTAAAGGTGCTAAGACTATAACCTGGATTTTTAAGTTCAGCCCAAAAACTGAACTATTATTACTACACAGTGACTTTGCAGGCACCATGACCAGAAAGGTTACAAAAAAAGCAGCTGCCATTACTATTAAGGATCAGCTGTAACACACTGCATAATTGTGAATGTAAGCAGCATCCTCCTGAAAAGTACAGGGGTCTCAAATATACAAATCAATGAACCAGAGAACATCAAGAAAAGCACAGACACACTTAATTGATTCCTGGAAGATGTTCCTTCCTTTGTTCCTGTTGGAGTTATGTACCTAAATCCCCTATCAATAGATTAAAATGATCTTCTAGTTTGCATTAAGTTAATAAATGTCATCCTTCTTTTACTGAATATTGGCAGGTGCTGTGATCTGAGACACTGGCTTCCCACAGGAGAGGAAATCATGGGTGCAAAATCTGGTACTTCCAAATTTCTTTTTTTAATATCTAGAGATATTTCAGATAGATCAGAAGAGGTCCAGCATCATATATGAAAACCCTTCTTTTACACTGCAGCAATTTGCCCACAGATTTAAGAGATTAAAATTATAATTACAAATTATAAATTATAATTACATAGGTTACAGAAATGAATTAATTTCTTCAGGGATTACCACCTCTTTCCCAAAAGGAAAACACACACACAAAACTAACCTCACAGCACTTCAGCAAATACTTTGCCCAGTTCACATGCTGAGGAAAAAAGTAGATAAGTGTATAACAGCACCACCTGGTGACTCCTGCCAGAATAATGTTAGAGCATTTTTAGTTCCTGCTTAATACGCGGTTTCATTAATCCTTTCACATCCAAAAATATCACTCCATGGTTTTGGCAGTCTATTCATGAAATCAAAATTAGGCATGCATCCAAATGTTTGCAAGGCTGGAGCTGAATATATATGTATGAATCCTTTGTGTAAATTTGGGCAAAAAAAAAAATACACTCAAGTAGTCCAAGCTGACTAAACAACAGCTACAATTTCATGCTAACCACCTGATGACTGACTCACTGCGAAAATGTCATTCCTTGTGGTTAAAAGATCAGCGTATGACTTTGGTAAAACTACTTCCATATTATCTGACTGACATGTATTGTTCTGTTATTACTGTACAGAGCACACCATATATAAAACACGACAAGAACTACAATCGCTTTGATCTTTTTTCCCCCTACTTTTCAACAAGAGACCAAATGCTGAAATATTTCATCCAAACTCACAATATTCTGTTTTAGAAAAGCTGCAATGCTGTCCCATGAAAGCCTCTTATTTCTAACATGTCCCCTATAACAGGCTTTATAGCTAATATCCTCCCTGGCTGAGAGACTAATGCCTCATGACTTGCTTGTGTTGTGTTACTGGAGATAAATGAAGGTCAGCTGTGGAGTCTGACCCAAAGAAAGATAAATGGGGACGTAAGAAAACCAAATCGTAATTCTGAAAACATTTTTTTTCAGTTGATTCAGGGTTTTCTTTCCCCAACTTCTTTCCTTAGCTGTCCACCAGAGAATAAAATTTTAGATACTTGTTCAAAATGCTTAGTTCAAAACTCCATTTTTCAATGAAATATAATCCAGATAGAATTTTTTTACCCACCATATAAACAACCCAGTCATTTAAGAGCCTTGCAAAAAGTCCAAAAGAAGCCCCTGAATAAAATTCTGGCTCACCAATGTAAAGGGTTTTGTCATCCATGGTGTAAGTAGATTTTTACACTTGAAGGAAGGTTCCTGTTTTCAGTCTTGACAAATTCAGTTAGGTCGTTTAAGAATCTAGTGAGCATATTTTCTCAAAACTAAAGTAAATGTAGCAACTTACGGTTCCGGGGTGTAGAGAGGATCCGAGCCATGTCGTATGTACTGAGTACAGTGAAAAACTCTATATGCTAAGCCAGCTAAAAAATCTCGGGGAGACAAGTATCCAGCAACTGGTCTCACTGTGAAGCCAGACCTTTCTGAAGTGAAGGAGATAATAAAATACCACATTATATATATATATATATATATATATATATATATATATATATATATATCATTGTATCAGTTTCTGAGGACAGGTAGTGATATGTTGTCAATTATTGTACCAGAAGCATGACATGGAGAATCATGGCTGAAGATCACCACACATAATTTTCACCTATTATATAGGAGAACTACCTTGCATTGATAGCGTACGTTTAATGAAAACAGTTTGAGGTATTTCAAAGTGGGTCTGAATACATTCATCTAGAAAAGATGGTAGGGTACCATAAGTGATGTTCTCAAATCATAGATTTTTATGTCTGGTACCAAATGGGAGAGAAATTTTGAAAACAGAAGATGTCTTCTGTAACATACATTAAAAACTAACAGAACAGAGCAGGATTAAATTAAATCTGTTCTTATTTTTACAGATAAATTATGGTTTGTGACAGTAAAATACTGGCTTTCTCAGTTGAGATCCTCATTTAAATATTTAACGAAGTGTTTCTTTGTCAGATTGGTCCCAGTGGGAAATAATTTCACTCAGTGACTTTGAAAAGCACAATTCTCTCCCAAATTCATTCTTTATTCTTTCCAAGTGTTTACAGGAGGATGTTCCAGTTTTTTAATAGACACTACTATTGCTGTATTTAGCCTGAAAACCTGTTTCTGAAGGAGTGTGAGGGTTTGAGTTTCTAGTTAGGGAGAAAGAAACCATACACTTTAGCATCATTCCTTAGAGACCATAATACAATACATGAGACACCCAGAAGGACATAGCCAAATTCTAAGAGTGATGAGACAGTTACTACCAGATGCAGGTGTTCACAAACAGAAATTATGGATGAAGAAAGGAAGCCTTTCATTACAAATTCTGTATTTCTCTTAGCTAAAGATTTTCAACACATATCTGGGGCAAAATGCATTGCTAATTCCTCTCATAACATTTAACAACACATAATATTTTTTTCCAAACACCCATCTTTACCATATTTTACTTCTGGAGCTCCTGAAGCTCCTGAGCAAGAGGATTAAGGAACAAGCATGTGTATCTGAAAGATCCTTGAGGAGAAATTAAAATCTTAAATTAACTCTTTAGTGGCTTTTCCTCTCCTGCTAAGAATAGCAGGTTCATGTCTGCCACTTCTTCCATATGGGATAAATTTCCATTACAGATGAAAAATAAGAGTATTTTCAAACTTAAATATGTAATATACTGGTCACTTTAAAAATAACATTAAAGAGAGGTACCAGATCACCTATGCAGTCACATTGATTTTTTTCAATATATAAATATGACTTTAGGTATTGAGCACTCAGGAAGCCTCCTGTCCTCCAAACCTGCTCTCCTCTTTAAATTCAATTACCTTGTCATTTTATTCCCTCTTTTACCTGCCTGGATATTTAGGGGGATGCCCACTTGCAGTTATCAGAACTCCCACCCTGTGGTACAATCAGAAAAGCAGAGCTAACTCTGCTCTTTCTTTTCATTGTAGTGAGTGACTTTTCTCTCTGTGAAGAGAGGAACATCAAGTAATAACATTACATGATACATCTTCAGCTTTTTAACTCAAATTCCTACTTGCAAATACACAAACACAACTGTTTTGACTCAACAAACTTTCTGCCATGGAGAATGTCAAAACCAGAATGATACTTCTGGCTAAACTAAAGTCCACTGACAATGCAGAGAGTCTTTTCATGCCATGTGCTTTGTATCTAACAAAAAAAGAGTATTTTCATGGAACTCTATTTACATATTGACAAACCAAATATGGAACTTACCCTTAAGAAAAACAGAAACATCTTGCAGCTGAGGCACGTTATCCTCTCTGTATCCACAGTACTTAGTCAGCAGGGGAAAGTTTTTCAAATACTCATGACAAGCATGGGTAGGATAGAGTTTACTAAGTTCCCTAAATACCACCCCCCATGTTTTAATTTCTTCAGCTGTGTACTCCACTCTGGGAATGGGCTGACCACTGTAAAAAACAAAAGAATGCAGAATACATCTGAATACAACCAGATTCTGGACAGACTGAGGATGGCAAAATTTCTGTAAAAATTATTATTTAAATAAATAAAGGAAGACACAAACTTTTAAAACTATTAAAAACTATTTTGAAATTACAGCTAGATGCTTTTATCTTAGACTTTCTTATTTATGTTACGTTGTACATATTGCATTCATTTCTTAAGAATCGTATTTCTTACTAAGCAATGAAACTATTAATCTTCATATATATCATAGTAGAAAGATGGATTTCTTATACGCCATGTTCCTATACCAGAGTAATATTTCTCCGTTTATTGTCACTGATGCCTTAGCAAGTGGTTAGCTGAAGATCCTTATTTAGTCTAATTTGTAGATTCAGTAAGACCATCAGCAGACTGCACTTACTATGCATTCTTTAAAATACTTACTATTCACATGGCATCATTACCTAGCATTTTACAAAGTGAAGATCAGGCAGTTACATGGATGTTTAGAAATGTGTGGATCCAGCTGAAATACATATATTTATTGTTTAGATGGTTGCTTACATATGCAGATATGTTTGGAACACCAAATTCATGCAGGATGACACCATGAGGAAGCTCACCTCAGAGCCAACAGCCTATCCTAGGTGTAACTAAGCCTCTAAATACATCTCTCCTTTAACTACTTTTTCCTTTCTTCTGCACCATTCCCCTGCCTCCTCGCCCTTCTATAGATGTACAGAAAAGCCTTCCAGAGTACCTGTAAGCCTGCCTCTGATATCCAGGATTTGCCTTGAGTGGTTATAGCTAATTCAAAACTGATAGTGTGAAGGGTATGAAGGGATCCTTCCAATTTACACTACCTTGTATTTAGCTGCAAGGAATTTCCCATGCCATGGTCATGGGCCATCATCTCACATTATCAGGTCTCCCTAGAATACACTTTATAATCTTTCTCTGGATTTAAAATTCATGTTATAGCATGTAACCTGTACAATCTGCCTTCTCTGCAAGTATCTTCTTTTCCTGCACTGTAATGTACTACACATTGGCAAAGGGATTCAGAGGATCCTCCTCCTCCCCATCAGTCCCTATCTCCCACTCCCCTGTACAGGGCTGGCGACATGGGTGCTCCCAGCCCAGTGCTGCAGCTTCTCCAGTACCACGGACAGTAGCTGAACGGGTGTACTGGGCATGGGGAATCCTGCCGTAGCGGAACTGCAGTGCTGGGCTTCTGCTGGGGGTGAACTTTCCATCTTGGCTGTTGACCAGTTCATAGTGTTGCCTATCTCCATTGTACAAGGTAACAAGGAATGAGCCCTCATGTCATATGGTGATTGCTGCTATGCAGTCCCTACGTGCACAAGAGAGGCTCATCTGCCCCACGCTTACTGTGGCTGCTCTCTCATCTTTATTGAAAACTTCCCATTTAATCCCCTTGCCTTTCGCTGTATCAAAGAATTTCGATCCACAGCAGTTATCTGTCAGTCAAAGGCTACTTTGTATGAGGTACTCATTCTTGTTAAGGACTCACTGAACATACAATACACCCGCTAGTTCCCCTTCAGCCACTCTTTTGCAGACATGACAGGAATTGCAACACATTCAGTGAAGCATTTCTCATCAGCTGAAGCTGTACTGGGTCTGCGCCCATTCTGCAGCAGGAGTGAGTCCTTCAGGTCTAGTATCTGTCTTCACCTTTACACTTTATTAGCCTTAAGCTGCCTTCCAGCTCACGGAAAACATAACAGCTATTCTAAATTGTACCATACATGACAGATACAAGCAGGTTACTGCTCCATCCACCTGAGGTTGCCAGAATACTGTTCAGTAGCCTTGTCACTTTTTTTCATACCTGACCTCTACTGTGGATGCTGCCAGTACAGGTCAGCGCTGGCCCAGCAAAGAGGAAGAAGTGTGTGCACCAGGTGAAAAACTCAGGTTTTTATTTAGCCTGCCACTAGAGAGGTATAACACAACCAAGGATCTGAAGCTTGGTCCCTGCTCACTAAAAGGTTTATAACTTAGTTATTGTTTCAATTAATTCACTAGTACTGAAGTAAGGTTCACTGAACATTAATTCCTTAATAGGATTTATGCCTAGGAGAGCTGATCTTATTTCTAGCTGATCATGGCATTGCTTTCTTTATCTAAAGGATCAAGGCAGCCAGACTTGAGGGAGGACCTATACCTTTCTCACTCAGCTCTGCAAAGCTCATTGTTCTTGCCCTCTTATTTCAGCAAGCAAGACCCACCTTGCACTCAAACATTTCAGTAAATCACATAAATGGCCAGCCTGCATAGCCAGTTTTCTTGTGGCTGACTCCACAAGCCAAGCCATCCTGAATTTTTATTTCCCCTTATTAAAACAGGGTCTTTCCATTTTGCCATGGTCATGAGCTATCAACTCATAATATGAATTCCCTCTTAAACGTAGTATTTTTCCTCCAGATTTAATTTTCTCAACACTTTTTCAATCCCTAATCAGTCTCAAAGGATTAATTAGCAACATCAACACATTTTCACTATCTTTAGGGTAGAAGCTAAGTGAAGGAAGGAGGAAATTTTTTTTGGCCCATTTATTTCATACAGCTGATCTTTACTGCTGTGTTCTATTAATGTGTCTTTCGCTTTATCACCCAGCACCAGCAAATAGCTGCTTCTCCAAGTTCCCTTCTTAGTGTTTCTCCCTCTCTCTCCACTACAGAGGCCTCTTTTATGTTCAAACAAAGCAGAGCATCTACCACTATATAACTGTAGCAATTCATAAAGGAAATGCTGATCGGGGATTTTCAATTCAACAATTTATTTACAGAGCCAACTCCTTGTAGCCAGTTTTTTTCATCCAAAGCTGTTATTTTTTTCAGGAAACAAATGTTTTGGTTTTGTTTTTTTAAAAAATACTTTTTTTTTTTTTTCCTGGCAAAGGAAAAGTAGAAATGAATCAAGCCTCAGCAAGTGATTAGGGAGGTCACTCACCTGGAAGACACTAAGAGTTTCAAGACAATGCTCTGAATTTATCCCTAAGGGAAGCAGTCCTTACAACAGAGCTTTTCTTTTCGTATAAGTAAGTAAATAGTTATTAGTGATAAGACTGTTCCAGCGTAGTGTCAAAAATCTCAGCTCCTCAGCACAGGGAGCAGAAACAGCTTAGCTGTAGCAGCATGGAATCCTTCCCGAGCTGATTTGCCCTTCCCTCTGCGTGGCTTAGGCTGAGCTGCAGGATGCTGAGGCTACATGTCTCCCTCTGGGCTGTCTCTACAGGCATACTTGGAGACAGTATAGCCCAGCAGACATGGCACATGCCTGGGGTTAAGATAACCACAGCGTGAGACCTGTGGAGTATGAATGAGCTTTTGCCATTTCAAAGTAACTGCTTTAAGCACTGGCTTCCCAGAGATTTTGTAGTCCCTGGGTAAAAATACTTGAAGCATTTTGTTTTCCCTCTGCTTGTAATAACTGGAGAGTTTGAAATCTTTTAAAGGTTTGAAAAGATCAATAGGGTGAAGGAGCACTTCTGAGAAGTTTTGCTGTAGTACAAGATCTGACCCCCAAATAACATCTGGTTTGTGTTGTTTGGTTTCTGTAATGTGCCTGCAGAAATGGTTCTTGAGCCTTCAATACCTACAGAAAGAAAAGGTTTTTCCTTTCCTTTATCTGTTTTTCTGGGGGTATGCAGGATTACTCTATGTGAGTTTTGTGAAAAGATTTTTCTCACTGGTTTCAGAGTGAAAAAAAAAAAAAAACCACCTCTTTGTAGCAGAAGACCAACCACTGCTAGCGAGCCAGCTGCATGATCTTACCAGCACTTAACCAGCTGAGAGGGAGAAGGAAAGAAGGTATTTCCAGCAACTTAGCAGCTGTGAAGTGCGTGGCACTACTGTTACCATCATGGGTGAATGGAGAACTGTCCAACTTATGAAAGAGCTCTAGGAACACACACAGTCTGCCCTCACCCACAGGTACCTGCTTGCCATTTCTTACTGCAAGAAATGCTAGGCAAGAAGCTAAACCTACCACAAGCATCAGACTAGAAAAAAAAAGAAGATAATAAATCAATCAACAGAAGAAGATAATAAATCAATCAACAGACAAAAAAACTGTCTCAATTTATATCTGAAAGCTGTAAAACTTAGGACTTACCTGGTCAGCCTAGGAAGCTTCTCTACCAACCAGCACCCTGCTCCTAGCATGCAGCAGCTCAGTATGCTGGATGACTATCAGGAGCCCCCAGCTAAATAAATGCCACCATGAGTGGAAAAAAGGGGAACCAGAACTGGCACTTACCAATTTATTAGATTGGTAATAGCTTAACAACAGGAATGGGACAGAAATAAAGGAGAAATACAATCAGGATTACATGTCACAAAGCAGAGTCAATCCTCCTGTCCCCCCAGCTTTCTGCAGCCCATATACTAGCCCTATATGAAAAACAAAAAAACGGAAATGAAAAACCTTCACCCCTTTTTTTGCTTCCTGACAGAATGCGCCTTCTATGAAAGGAGAAAAAAAAAAAAAAAAAAAGTGTTATATTCTTTAAATAGGTACAAATCCCAAAGGAGAAGAATTAAAACCTGAAAAAGTGTGGTAAAATGGAAAAGAATATGAAACTAATATGTTCATTCCCTTGAGAATGAGAGCTTAGGCCTGTTGCAAATGAAAGCTAGAATATGATTAGAATTAGTTGAATACTTCTGTGACAAGAAAATTGCAACACAGTAGGTGGTTGTAGGTAGCACAGAAAGTTTTCTGATTTCCACTCATGGTAACAACACCACTTCCACTATAGAGAAATTCACTGACTGAATTTTGAGAAATTTAGAGCTGTGTTAGCAAAAACAATTAATGGCATTTTGCAGCGTCCAGGATACTAAGCACATGAAAAGAAAACACTAATTTCATTTACAGTGAGCTTGTCCAATTACAAAGGGATTACAGACATGTACAACTCAGCAGTGCATCAGTCTGTCATTAAGACATACAAGCATTTGTAAATGAGTTTCTTCAGTTTTAGCAGCTATGAATAAAATGCTGAAGAGATAGTGCTTACCTTTCAAATGCTTTACTTGCCTGTATCTGTACCAAAAACATAATGGGATTTCAAGCATCAGGTTTGCCATTTATAGCCTACACTAAACTAGTCAAAGTTTAAAGGATGACTTTGTCTACTGTTAAACTTCCATCCTACAGAATGAAGTAAAGAATGAATCCTAAACAGTCAGCAGCACAGGGAAGAATTATGCCAGTACTTACTATTTATAGCTCATGGCAACATCCACAAAGTATTTTCTTCTCTGTCGATAGACATTGTCTTTAAATCCCTTAAGCAAGGAAGAAGAGAGTAATTCACAATAAGGACAGAAAATTGGTTGTAAGAATTACAAAATAAATCACTAAAGTGTTTATTTAGTACTAAATTATACTGTATTTTGATTAACACTAGCTACACTACTGCAAGAAAAGATAAGGATTCCTCCACTTTTTTCCCTACCAAAGTCTCACAGGAGTTTTTTTGAGTTCCTCCTTGTCTGATCAATAACTTCTGACAAAAGTGCTGACTTACTCAGTTGAAGATCATTCAAGAGCTGAAAACATGGTACACGGGATTTAAAAGTCTGTCACGTGTAGTGAAACTGAGACTAAAACCGTTAACCAATACGGAGTGGGTTAGGGCTCTGATGCTGAAGTGGTGCTGTACTGGTTCTGTAACAGGGTAATTCTCTTTGGTCCTCTGGCACCCATGCACCACCACAAAGGCAGACACCAGAAGCGGCCTTTGAAAGACTCATCACAGACTTCACAGGGCTTTTTTCCCCCCATCTCTAACACCTAGCATTCCACATAGGCTAACAAATGGTGTGTAAATTATGTTTATAGGAGATCCCCCAAGTGTAAAATATATATTCATATAATGCAAATGTCTTTTTTCATTGTCTGTAAAACTGAAGGCAGATTTTCAGCAGAGCACTCAAGTATTTAATGAAGGCACCAGCTCAGAACATAAAAGAGTATCAAATGGCCCGTCACAGCCACTGACTCAAGGCTGGAATGAGCTGCCACTACAGCTTCTGTTTGAACCAGATTACTGTTCATGGTTGAAGGTAATCAACAGGCTTTTCCATTCTGAGAAAATGTGAGGTAAATCCTAGTTTATCATCAAGAAGTATATGGCAGAAACCAGAATCTAGGAACGCACTCCCCAAATGAGGGCCCACAGTGGGGGGAAGGGCTCGCACATGGTAGAGATGGCTGGGAACCAAACAAGGTGATGACAATTATCATGGTTGATAGGCAGGCAGGTGACATTGGAGACATTGAAGTGGGGCTGCTAGGGGACATCATGTTGATGTCCTTTTGCTTGTGTACACAGGTGTGAGGGTCTGCGCCTGAGCTCTCACCATGGCATGGGTGCTGTAGAAGCTGTGGAGCAGACAGGACAGAAGGCAGCAGCCTGAGTGCCATTTCTGCACTGAAGTAGAACCCCAGACCCAGGGCCACTAGGAGTACCTGCTCTTCCTTAGCCAAGGCAGTCACCAGAGAGGTGTCCGCACAAGCCCTGTAGTACCATGGTATACAGATGCATCACCAGAAAGTCCCCTACACCAAACTGGTCTTTCTGCAGTCACAAATGCAGAAACACACTTTTCACTATCTTGGACAATACCAGCAAAAATGTGTGTGACAAAACCCACAGGAGATTACCACCTACAGGTAGAGTTTAATCTGATTCTACTACAAGACATTCTTATAGTCCGATATCTTAGTTCATTACCTACTTCCTTTCAACTGGAAATTTCCTACAATACCAGTTTAATCCAGCCTATTTTAGGAATGAATATAACTAGCTATCACCAGCATCTTTCAGCCAAGTTGTCCAAAGGTAGAAACTTAGATCTGTAACACATGAAAATGTACCATAAACCCTTGCAATAATCTGCCATCTAAAGACTCAGAGGTTAAGCATTTACGGACATCAGTCATATGAAATAAAACAATAACAAATCTATTTTTCTGCCTCTTGCATTGAGCATTTGGGTGCACATACGGCTTGCGTGAAATGCAGGCTTGTCTCCTGTCATCAAAGTCCGAAAACAACGTGAGGCACTTTCTCATCTGATGCATTCATGCAGAAACAGGAACATCTTGTTCTATTTTGTTTTGTAATTACTTCTTGAGTGCCCAAGGAAGTACTCCTTCATAATTGTTTCTTCTCTGACACCTAGGTCAATATCAATTCTTACCTAAGAGCTACGTGTGGCAGAGCCAAAGGTCATATTGATCTAAACTCTTCAAAGTTTGAAACTGTTCTATCAACTAGTTCATTAAAAAAAAAAAAAAAATAAATGAAAGCAGAACAAAAGGGGACATAGTTGTTGAACAGTGAAGTTTTCTAGAAGATCTCTTTTTTGAGTGCCCTACTACAGAAAAATTAATTCACTGAAACTACTGAAGAGAACTAAATCCCCACCTTCTGAAAATCACATGTTCAAAACAGCACTCAGAATCAACAGTTAACAGGCTCTTTATTTGATCGGCAAATAACCTGAACAGATCATCTACAAGACAATTTTACATTACACTTACAGGGTGATCTGCATCCAGCTCAGATCCATACATCAAAACTCTTTGTGAGCATTTGTCTAATTCAGATATCTTCCTGGGGAACCAGGGTACACAGTCAAGATCTGCAGAAGACAGAATGGGAGTTGAATGTACTGGCATATAAGACTATGCAGATACTTGTGCAAAACGTTTGTCAGTGTCTAAATCAAGTGATACAAAAGCAGCCTTGCCTTCTTCATCAGTCCAGATGTTTTCTGGTGGATTGAGAGAGACAATATTCGTTTGAAACTTGAGCAACTGGATTAGTTCATTAAATTCTTTCTTACTGCAGTCGCAGTCCACAAAAATTTCCACCTCCGAGTTCCTTCTCTTCGATTTTCGTGATTCAATATGAACCATACTTATATGTTTCTCCTGTGGAAAGATGAAATAACAGATGAAATACAGACATACCAGCTAGAAGGCATATTCCTCATTAAAGCTTTTCCTAATTATTAAAATGTGTTTGCATTGAAAGTACTTACTTTGTATTTACGCAATTAGTGACACAATACTGATAACAGAAGAATCTATAGACTGAAAGTAAAAATAAAACTATTATTCTTAATGAAGAAAGTTAACTAATGATTTCATTTCATCTATCAAAATAACCTTTTGTAGAAGAAAGTATAGGATTATAACTTGCATAGAATCACAGAACGGTTTGAGTTGGAAAGGACCTTAAGATCATCTAGTTCCAATCCCCCTGCTATAGGCAGGGACACCTCACACTAGACCATGCTGCCCAAGGTCCTGTCCAACCTGGCCTTGAACACTGCCAGGGGTGGAGCATTTTATGCTTAAATTTTATACTTACATTTGCTATAAACACTAAATTCTAATGCAATTTTATTAGGCAATGTACATAATAATAATGTTAATTTAACTAGATTCGAGTGTGCTCACTTTCTCTTCACTGCACTGCACAGACTTAACAACCTAACACTTTTATCACACTGCTTTGCCTCCACTGTCCTTAGACACACCCCAAAGCCCTCTTCAATCATTAGTAAGTCAAGCAGACTACGTGCAGTACCAGCAGACTGACCAAAAACTGTATATTGCATGGGGATCCATATGGGAACCAATACTTCACCATTTACATTCTAGTTAGACACATGAAACCCTGACCCTGCAAGCACTTAAAGGTGCATTTAACTTAATGACTGAACACTGTCTTGCAGCAAGACTGCCACCACCACTTGACTGTATATAATTTAGATTCTGAACTTCTCTCTGAAAATGCCTCCTTTCATTGTGGCCTGCACAGACAACTTCAAATCTAATTTACATTGTTGAGAATCACACACCAGAAACCTAAAGCAAATGGCACAAACATCAGTATTGCTCGTAAACCACATTCCAGAAAACCCTTCACAAGCCCAAAATGCTTTGTTGAATGGTCCATTAAATTTTAAGTTACTTTTATTCAATCCTGCAAAGTGTAACTGCACTCTATTCCTTCTGCCATGGTCCATTAGATTTATACCAACAAATAACCTGACCTCAATAGCCCTCCTCAGTCTGGTCAGCGTAATGATTTGCAAGCTTTACCTGGAAGAGTCGGAGAGCTTTCACCAATCCACCAACTTCATTCTTCAAGGAAAACACTACGGCTGTCTTTCCACCTTCAGAAACAGATTCACCTTTGCCATTTCCCTTAATCCCTTTCTTTTCCTCATTCTTCCCAGAACTTGATCTGTTTAGCTACAAATGTATAAAGAAACAGCATCATCTCAGATGCAAACAGGCATTTCCCAAATTTAAGTCTTTTTACTCAAAGAGAAAATTTTATTAGAAAGTAGCTAAATGGAATTCATCCAGATTTAATTTAAATGGCAATGCATTTACCTGTAAATTGGTAATTTACCAGAATCACATATCAAAGGCAGCTATCAGAGATGATCATGTAAGAGGCCAGTCCACAAAAAAAAAAGCTTAAGGAAAAGCATAGGAATGCTTGGGATACAAATATTATTATATTATTAGGGCAATGCTATCATTAAATATAAAGCAAATGGAGATGATTTAAATTACTGCAAAGCCTGCAGTGATGCTATTTCGCTATTCTAACCTGAATATTGCTGTGAAATTGCACTGCAAAATTTCAGTGATCCTATTTCAGTCAATTTACAATGATTTACACTGGTCTGTATGTTTGTATTAATCATCACATTTAAAACACAAGCTTTATGTTATCTTTTTTAGTACAGTTAATGGTCTCATGTAATGCCATTTTTCCTGAAAAACCAAAACCTCTGTTGATTATACAAACAAGGACAGAAACATGCATAGACTATATCACAGAATCATAGAACACCACGTTGGAAGGGACCTCAAGGATGTTTTGGTCCAACACTTCTTGGCAAAAGCACAGTCCTGACAACATATTCCAGCACCCTGTCCAGGTGAGTCTTTAGAAGTGTCCAGTGTGGGGAACTCACCACTGCCCTGAGGAGATTATTCAATGGCTGCTGGTTCTCATTGTAAAAAACGGTACCTCCCATTGAAGATGAGCTGGACCAGGAACTCAAAAACATGGAGAAAATGACACCATCCTTGGCCACTTCTACATTCTTCTCACAATTTGGAGGTCAAAGACTGCTTTAAGCCAAATTTAAGTCAGCATTTTCAAAAAATGTAATTTTCTCATCTTAAATATCTTGTTGAGATGCCAATAGTACAGCATTTATAGAGAATTGTTATAATATCAACCATGATTTTCAAAAAACAGCCCGAGTTTTCCAGTAGCCAGGTTGTGCCTCCTGGAGAAATCAAATCTCCAGTGAGACACTAACTGCTTTTTTATCATCCATAATAGAGTCACTAAAGATACATGAAGATAGAAGTTAAGAATCATGTACAACTATTGCATGTGAATTAAACTGTCCTTCAGTAAAGCAGCTTTCAGAAAATAATCCAAATATGAAGTTTTAAACAGGTCTCATAACATTTGATGGAAGCCAAATTAAATCTCTGTTCTTATTTTCTCCTTAGAGGTAGGCTATCCACTTGTGAAAATCTGTGGACCCATGTCAATGGACTTTAGCAAAGGGTCTCCCTGTACTTCTAGATTTCACAAGTTTTTATCACAGTATCACAGTATGCTAGAGATTGGAAGGGACCTCGAAAGATCATCTAGTCCAATCCCCCTGCCAGAGCAGGAACACCTAGATAATGTTACACAGGAATGCGTCCAGGCCAGTTTTGAATGTCTCCAGGGAAGGAGACTCCACAACCTCCCTGGGCAGCCTGTTCCAGTGTTCCATCACCCTCACTGAGAAGAAGTTTCTTCTCAAGTTTAAGTACAAGTATCAAGTGCTTTGTGACCCAGAAAAAAAAATAGTGAGCTCTTAAACTAGTTACTGGACATGCCAAAAAGACTCTGTGGTCTTTTCTCACCATCTATTAAACTTCACGAAAACCATCTGGAAAAATTTTTATGTTTTTAGAATGATATATGAAAGGTTTCAAGCATGTTTATTTCTTAGTAATTGAGCTTACAGGATTCTGCTCAGTAGGCGGTTTCCTCAGGGATAGCTTAAGGGATGGCCACTTTTGTTTTAACTTCAATATTTGGGATTTGGCTGAGTCCTTTTCACATCCATCAAGCACCCAACCTCCACATGAAGTGACGAAGATTCTACCTTTATAGCATACATGATTTTTCACTGTGCGCTGCTTCCTAGAAGTTCTGTACTGAGGATCATGTAGTCAACTGAGTGTCTGAGAATCTCAACACCATCGACTCCTCTGGGAAACAAGAGCACTTAGCACCTTCCAAGATTGTCACAGGTTCCGTAATGCTTTCAAGCAAACATTACCCAAAGTGATGGCTAAAAACCCCTTTCAAGCATATAAAAACTAGAAACCTATTTGTTATGAACACAGTAGAGAAGGCTGAACTCAAAACCTTATCAGCCATGCTCATTAGTACACTTCATAACTAAACAGAGGCTAACAAATCAAATTCCATAATGAAAATAAATTAACAGGAGCAAGCACAAGTACTCAGGAATAAGTCATCTATAGCAGAACTCAGTGAAGTAACTCAAATTTAAAGAGGGTAAAACAAATCTATCCTATTTAATTCAGTATTTCTAAGTGAAGCAAAGCATATTCAAATCAAATATTTCACATTTTACTATGAAGATGACCAGCCAGTTCACAGCTGGTACAAACTGGTGCATTCTGTTGGTTCTTCTCAAGTGATCTGGACCTTCATGTGTTGCAAAACTGTACAGGAGGCAAAAACTTCATAATCCTGAACATCTCACATATTCAAAGCAGATGAGATTATTAGCACCAACTAACATTCTTTACTGCTATTAAAGTACGCCTATTCAAATACATTTACTAGTGAGTATACAGAAGTTTACCCCACGGCTGAGATCACCTGTCGCACCGCTATCATCACCTCACAGACAGAGAACCGCTTCTCCCCCCTGACAGGGTTTCCAACAGGGAAGATGCACATCCCCTGCACAATGCTCACACAGGTCCTTGTGTGCCTGCGAGTCGGCAGAAGCTGGGAAACCCCAAATCCAGCTGCTCTGCAACGGAAGTGCCACAGGCACCGAGGCAGTGTGATCTGCACAGTGCCAAGAATGCTTTATATATTGTGTGTCTGAGTGTCTTGGAAGGGCAGATTCTGCTGGTGCGTACAGTCGTGAGAACTAATCAAAGCCTTTAAAATTCAAGCACTTAAAACTACCTGAACTGCATCCTAGTGCTTTTATATTATTCCTACAGCAAGCCGGTTCATTTCTGCAGGAAAGTTTGTACGTCTAACAAAACTTTTACAGTTACTTAAGGACACTTTTAAGGCAGCGTGGACCGATTTATACTGCAAAGTCGGCTTTACCGGCCCTTGCAACCGCGGGAGAATTGTTCCCTTCCCCTGAAAGTTACAAGGAAGGGGTCGGCTTCCTGGCACCGGCCCCGACCCGACCCGACCCGCGGCTCCCACTCCCGGCCTGCCGCCGCTCCCCACCCCACCACTCACGGTGAGTCCTCCGACGGCGGGGCGCTCCTCCGGCAGGGCTGAGTCCAGCGAGAAGCCCCTCCGCGCCCAGTACTTGCTGGAGAACATCATCATGGCGGGCTGCATGGGGCCGGCCGGCCGGGCGAGGGAGGGGGGGTCAGCGCCGCGCTCTGCACGCCTCACCCGCCGCGGCCCCTTTTATACGCCCCGGCGGAGGCTGATGGCAACGCGATTAGGGGACACCCGTCAACGGGTGACGAGCGCCGCCGCCAGCGACGCCCACGGGCCCCGCTTACCTCAGCCGGGGCGGGGAGCGGCCCAGCCCCGCCGCTCCCCTGCAGCAGGGGCACCCGTGGGCTGCCTTCGCCTTCGAGCCGCTTAAGACCCAACCCGAGAAGCCGAACCAGCCTGCCCTCTCCTGCGGCCGGGCAGGCGAGGGCGTGCAGCCCAGGGCGCTGCCCGGGGGTCTGAGGAGCCACGGCCTCAGCGGTGCGGGGACAGGGCCCGGAGGGGACGAGGTGACAGAGTGCCAAGGGTAGAGGCCGATTTTGCGTACGGAAGAGCTGTGTGTACATTGTAAGAGATTCTTCGATGTAAAACTTCACATCTCTCCCTTTTGTATAGTACTGCTTTGAAAAACAGGCTGGTTCAAAGAAGAGGAATTAAGGGACAAAAATGACATCCTGCAGTGAAAACCTTAACATACCTGATGTACTTAAGGGTGATGAGCAACATGCAAAGCCTACTTCAACTGAGAGAGAATGCTTAACTGGAGAATGCTTTTCCATCAAGGCAGCACTGGCTGTGGTTTGTGCATCAGCTGTGTAAGGGCCAGACTGCAATCCTGAGAACCTCTACTAACCACAACATCAGTAAAGCAGTTAAACACCTATGGGGGTAAAACAGTCCCATACGGATCTTGGAGATCTTCTGTATTTATATGACAACTTCATTTGCCTCTGAAATACATCTCAGGGTAAAGTTTCTTGGGTTTGGACACGGTGTTTGGTTTGGGGGTGTTTGTATGCTTCCATGTTTGATTTGGGGATCTTTTGTTTGTTTTTAAGAATTTGTTTACTGCTTAAGGCTACTATTAGCTCAGAAATTTTCAGTGCACAGAAGGCATCTGCTGAAACAGTAACGACTGCAGTGTTAAGGTACATTCTTAGTCTCTCAAATCTACTTACAAAATTGACTTAAGATTTTCCTCTTACACTACCATTCTGAGGTCAAACACTCATTTTGTCACCCACCGTTGCACTTGTTCTCCCCTATAATTTTCCTTCCCACTTCTTCCATTTTCCAAAACTTCCCCATGAGCTACTTGAATAAATACCTGACATCCATGGAGTATCATGGAATCTTCTCATTCGTCACAACTAACAAAAATCAGCAAAAGTTTCCAGTCCAAACCGGTCATTGTCAGTTAGATGATCCCTTTCTTAAAATGGCTGATCATGTGTTATGTTCAGGACCAGGACAGAGCTACTCCTGAGCTGCCTCAGAATTCAGAGGGAAGCCTGAAACACACCCTTTTAGCTTCACTTTTCCAGCGTTTCCCAGGTGTAAAATGTAATAAGGCTCCTTTTCTTCTGCTTGACAACAAGTTTGTAGTAATATTTGGTTCCTCTACCTGCTCCTGTAATGCAGACCAATCATTTTTATTACACTAAACTACGAAGTTTTACTTTTTCCCAGTCGGAGGAAAGCATGTCTTCATGTATTAGCCCAGTCTCATATCCTGAGGTTGCAAGAGACATTCTCAGTCATGTTTATTATTATTTTTAATGATGGGAAAGCAGGTATGGACTTTTATATTCCTACCTGCTCTGCCTGAGATACACAGACACAGTTCCTGCAGTTGAACAATTTATGAGAGTGAGATTACTTTGTGCTCTCCAACTGCTCCAAAGATGAAACCAAGCCCTACTTTCTCCTACCATCATGACAGAGCATGATTTCCTCTACTGTTAGATGCTAGCCCTGCAGCTGGGACATCAGACAAATCAATGACCCTGCTACCCAGTAGCCTTGCTATCTATCACAGCTCTGTGTGGTAACTAGAGCATGGCAAAGGTTTTCTGCTCATAACCTCTTCAGGATGACTCATGAATGCAAAAACAAAGGTACCCTGTGTCACCAGGTACTACATCACAGGTGGGGAAGACTCAAGTGGTTGAACTGTTTTAACTATTCTGTCTGCCTGTTAATCCCATGGAGGGATTGCTTCTCCCTTGAATTGAAAATTCATTGAAGCAGATATTCAAAAATCTCTGTTCTTCAGCAAAAAGAGAGTTATGAAAATAAAGCAGAAACTGAAAAGAGGACTTCAATAAATTCAGTTATTACAGCCCCCAAGGGGAGGAAACCGAGAGCAAAAAGACAATTCTTTCCTTGTTTCAGGGAAAAAAGTTTCATCAGGAAACTGCTTCACTGTAGAGGAAGTATAGTCTCCTACTACCCTGTCACTAGTATTATCATAAGTTGGTCATTACCTTCAATTCAAAAAGAAGCTTACAGGAAATAAAAACTAGGACCAGGCTACTAAATACAGGAAGCGTAACACATAGACAAAGGCTACAGTGCAAAATTCAAAGTAATTAGTATAGGACATTCAAAGCAATTTTTTTTATAAATAGAGCAGCAGCCATCAGAATTGAAGTATTAGTCCACTACCAAACACAAGGAAAGGACAAAAGAAACTTTAAGTGATCTAAGTATGTAATGCTCTTTGCTTTTAACATCATTCTGTGCTGAAAGAATCAACTGTGACCATAGTTCTATCATAATTAATAGGAAGGGCAGAGAGGTAAGGTTTTAGCTTTGAACAAGATGAAACAATGTTGGAGAATATTTCAGATAAATCTGGGATATTTGGGATAGCAAATGACTTGGCACAGACACTACGCTTACAGAGTAGGCTTGTTAGATCTCTGCCATCAATAACTATTTCAAGAACTCAGGGATTGGACAAGCATCAAAAGACTGGGGAAAGACCAAAATCATGTCCATTTTCAAGAAGATATTGGGGAGGATGAAGGGCTGAAGAATTATAGACCAGTCTAATTTCATTTGTTGGAGAAAACAGAAGTACCAAAATTGTTTGTAAAGACCTCGAAGATAACAGATGATTAAACAGTCAAGATGGATTTGCTGAGAATAAATTGAGCCAAGCAAATCTCATTTCCTTTTATGACAGTTCTGTGGACCAAGGGAAAACAATACACGTCATTCATCTTGATGGTAGTGAAGCATTTGGCATGGTCTGTCATAACATTCTCACAAGACAGATAAGGAACCAGGTCCAGATAGAACTAATAGATTGGGCAAAAGGGTGGCTTCACTGCTAAATGAAAGGGTACAGAGAACAGCCATAAGTACCTACCCTCATCTCCTGTACTATTTAATAATAGCCTAAGTGACTGTCTCGAGACCACCTGTAAATTCCCAGACTATACCTACCTCAGGGATGCTGTAACAGTCACAAGATTTAAACAGATCTTGGCAGGGGAAAGGCTACTTGTAGATGACCAGCTGCACATTTACAAGAGAAGGCAGAGTCAGAAGCTACAGAAAATCCCCAGCTACATGCTATCATTCAAACTGCCCTGAAGGTCCACAAACACCTGAAAAGTGCTTGCCTAATAGACTGCAGGATCTATGAAGTTATCCTCCAAATGGATACTTTCATATCCTTCAATGGATGGACATAATGGCAGAAGACAGTCATGCCTTTCAGCAGGAGATAGTTGAGCCTGTTCTGTTATTGACAAGCTTTTAAAAGTGCCTTCCAATATTGTAAACCTGTGATTTTAACTAAGTTGCCGGATGTATATATTCAGGTATATACTTCATAGTGAAAAAAAAGTGTGGTATGATTGATCTGGCTAAAAGAACTGGTTAAGCCTGCAATTTGTTAGGTCCTTCATGTGATTCACCATACACTACGCAAATTAATCATACCAGCATAAAAGAGGTAGTGCCACTGGACAGAGAACAAGGAACCAGGACTGCCGCTTCTGGTAGCAGTAGCTGCACTGCTTTGCTGCTTGAGGAATTATCAAGTCTCTGAACCCAAATATCTGTACTTTAAGGACTTTCTTGGTTTCTTCCATCGGTTACTTTAACAATATAACCAGAAGAGTATGTGAAAGCTCTCAAACAGCCAAGCCTGAATGTGGCATGCATCCACATAACCTAAAGGACATCTGGACCAATTCATACACCAAAAAGTGTTTTGGAAATTTTGGTGTTTCATCTTATTCAGTTATGACAAGCAACAGAATAGCTGAATGCAAGTTGCTTAGATGCAACTAGATGCTTAGATGTTGCATCAGGTCTAGATGGGCACTTAAGAAGTGTCCTCTTCAGCAGGACGGATTCACTTTTTTTTCTAACATGATGTCAGATACCATGAAGAATGTGTCATCACACCAAACTGAGTTAGTCTGGGATGGAGTTAACTTCCCTTATGGTGCTGTACTTTGGGTCTGTGCCTAAAACAGCATTGATAACACTCCACCTGTGTTTCAACTGTTGCTGAGCAGTGCTTGCACACTATTAACATGCTCTCACTTCTTCCCCAAGAGGTTGAGAGCAGACACAGCAAGGACAGCTGACCCAAACTGACCAAAGGAACATATCACATAACATTGTGCTCAGCAATAAAAGCTCAGGGAGAGGAGGAAGCCGGCACATTCATGGTCATGGCATGCATCTTTCCAAGGAACCTGTGCTGAAGCCTTGTTTTCCAGAAGTGCTCGGACATCTGCCTGCTGATGGGGCAGTAGTGAATGAAATCCTCTTTGTGCTTTGCTTGTGGGAGCAGAATTTGCCTTCCTTGTTAAACTGTCATTGTCTCAATCCATGAGCCATCCTGCCTTCTTTCTACTCTCTCCCCATGCTGCGGGGAGTGGGTGAGGGGCTGGGCGGGTGCTTGCTGCTGATCTGGGTCAACCACACCACACGGGGGAAACAAGTGACCACCATTTGCTGAACTGCTAGACTGGGCAGAAGTTTAAGCTCTGAACAACAGGGCTCTGCAGTTAGTTGGTTAATAACAAGATATGTATATAGAAACAGCCTGAGAACTAATGTTAACGTAGGGTACATGTAGCCTGTATAATCCAAATATATACTATAATTGAATTTCTTCAAATGTAACCCATCTAGAAGACTTCATGTACCTGAATTACATGGACAGTTTGAAATATGTATTTAATTTTGAAATTAATTTTGGATGAGGCAAAAAGTGACAGCCTACAATATATTTTTTGTTTGCAATTCATCAGAAAATTAGTTTGTGCCAGAATATAGTGATTTAACATGAAAAAAATTGCACCTATTCTCTAAAAAAAAAAAAAGTTTAAAATCCCCACTTGAATGAAAAAAAAATCAAATTCAAGCTTAATTTATACAAGGCCTGCACTGCAATAACATCACTTACTTGAATAGCAGACATTTTCAAGTCCCACTAAACATGAAGCACAACTCATCTTTTAACACTA